AATACCCCCTTCCGAACATTACGGAAATCCTGGACAGATTAGGTAGAGCATATTATTTTTCGACACTCGATCTAGCTAGTGGTTTTCACCAAATTGAAGTAGACCCCAATGACGTAGACAAAACCGCATTTAGTACCCCCACAAGGTCATTTTCAATTGAAACGAATGTCGTTTGAATTGAAAAATGCCCCTTCCACATTTCAAAGAGTAATGGACAATGTATTACGAGGACTGACAGACGAAACATGTATTGTTTATTTAGATGACATTTTAATTTACAGTACTTCCCTTCAGGAACATTTAGAACGTTTAAAAACCGTATTCGACAGACTCAGACAACATAATTTAAAAGTTCAGCTAGACAAATCAGAATTTCTTCAAAAATCAGTGATGTATTTAGGACATGTAATTACCCCCTCTGGAGTTAAACCAAATCCTAATAAAATTTCGGCTATTTAAAATTTTCCAATTCCCAAAACTCAGACTGACATTAAAAGTTTTCTTGGACTCTTAGGTTATTACCGACGCTTTATTCGTGACTTTGCTAAAATTACAAAGCCATTAACAAAATGTTTGAAAAAAAGCGCTCAGGTAATTCATAATAAAGATTTTATTTCACTCACGTGCAAATATAAATTAACCGTCTTATCTTCATTTCGAAGGATTCATGGATTGACATATTGTATTTATTTTATGTTAAGTATCAAATCATGAGAATACCAGGTTGGATATTTTCTAGATTTAGTTGACTTTAACGGAACACACAGAACAATAAGAGTTTGGATAATCTCATTAAATTTATGTATGTATAGCATAGAATAAAGTATAATGTATAGTATATAATATGTAATCTTATTATTCTACGCCCAAATTACATCTCCCGAAATCATACGAAACTATCGAAGGAGTATTAAGTTGAGAAGGTATTTAGTCTGGAAGAAAGATGTGGTCATTTTGATCTAAAAAAAAATTGCCAAAATTTCAGCTTCCTAGATCAACCTTATGAACGGTGCAAAGGAATAACGTGAATAACTGGTACATTTTTTAAATTTTTTTTTTTGATGGCAGCATTTTGTAGAAAATTAATTTTTTCACAGAAAAGGTACTTTATGCTATATCTGTGAAATTATTATTTTCAAAGATGTGCTCGTCTAAAAATTATCATTAAGATAAGTACGTATCTATAAGTATCTAAAAACCTGTATATTTAAACTAAATGAGTATTTCTTATAAAATATACATATCGTCGCCTTAGTAAGAAACCCGCGTAACTCCATTTTAGCAAAATTTACAAGAGAAAAGAAAAACGTTTTGTAACCGCCCTATTGGTGATAAAATTTTTAAATCTTTCATAAATAGAGAAAAATAATTCAGATTTAACATTTTTGGTAAAAATAATAAAATTATGTAATTTTTGTAATTGAAAAAGGAGTTACGCCATTTTCTTATAAAAAAATCTAAATAATAATTGGAGATACGTGGTTTTTATAAATAATATATACAAAACCTATTTTATTTTAAACAAAATATACGTATTTTACATACAGTAATGAAATTCATAACGAACATAAAAGTAAGTTTACAAAAGAATAATTTTATTCATAATAAGGAAGGTCATCGTAAAATTGATGATAATCTTCTAGAAGTCCTAATTTTAGAATTTGAAGGTGATCATATTTCTCCTTTTTTATTTTTCTGCGTTCTGTATACAAAGATGGCAAATCGTCATACTTGCATGGAACCGTTTTTTTTTTATTTATTCTTTGGTTTAATGTGCACCAATCATCGGTATGTCTCATTTTGAATTGGATTTCACAGTTTGGTAAATACCTTAGGGCCTTTATGTCAGTGACAACGGGGTCGCCAGCGACTCTTCCAGGACGTATTGAAGTATAAAATTTTATACCATCAAATTTTTTAAAGAATAAATGATTGATATACTTGACGTTATATGGAGATGGACTTGATCTTGCCTTTTGGCAGTAATAAGCATAGTCAGCGGGAAGGTTTATTTTGCGATTTCTAATCTGTCGTTCAATTGTTGCATGCATTGAGTCCACCTCCATCTGGGTGTGTCCTTTGAATAAATACTTCTGAGTTAAAACGATTTTATGCTGGGCTGCTAAGTTTACAAACGCGTTAGCCAGTGTTGAGTTGCGGTTTTGACCCGTGCAGCCATCACTAAAAAATATAATTTCACGTAAGTTTCCGTCACTCTTTTTTATTTCTTGTTCAACAAAAAAGGAAATTATGGTGGAAAATTCGTTTGCAGTCAGGCCTCCTTCACTTTCATTCCACAGGAAACAAAATCCTTCTTTGGATTTAAGATTATAAATGGTAAAGTTATGAATTACCAGTTTTGTTTTATAGTACATTGCAGATACTGTTGATTTAGGACTCAATAACACGCTCTGTAAGTCCATTGCATAAACATTAACTGTTTCGTCGGTAGTAGTTTTGTCTTTTTCTTTTTCGTGACGTGCCTCTAATTTTAAAGTTTGATGAATATTATAGTCTTCCTCAGATAAGTTTTTGTATTGTATGCCTCGCACACGTCGCACAGATCCTTTTTTGGTAGGTAAAGTGACAAATTCAGCTTTTCAAATATCTTCATGAATGTGAATATGAATGGAGGTTCCAAATTACGTTCGTTGCAATATTCTTTTTTAAAAAAATTATACAGGGCGGCATTTGAACGCCAAAGTGGCTCAAGATACAATTTTTTCGAAGAAGAACTACAATAATGGCTTTCCATTTTTGGTAACGATTCGAGAAATTGATACACAGCCTTATTTTTATCTGCAAATTTTGTCCTCCTTGTTTCGCTTTTTTTGCTAACCTAATAGTCATGACTGTCGCGATTAAATTCTTTTATCCAAGTCAGTACCATTGTTTCTTTTAACCCTAATGTACTTCCGAACATACGCTTGCAAACCCTTATTCTTTCCAAATCCAATTTTAAAAAATATTTAATAGAATAATTTCTTTTCGATACTTCTTGCTGCCCTCTTCTTCTTTTAACATTCTCACATTGCACCAGAGTCTGTACATGTAGTTTCCTCTCACTCCAAGTCATTGTATTCCAAAATGTTTGAAAAATTTTTAAACGTTTTTCTTCCGTCATTTTTTGACATTGGATAGCAACACTTTTTTTACCGAGGGAACAGTTGCACGGATTTAACAAAAATTTACCTAAAAAATAAATCTTTTGTTTTTTTTTTACAAAATAATAATATTAAGTTTTTACCGGGTTTGTTTATGTTGTAGTTCCAACAACCTGCAATTTCCTTTTTGCCTTGGTAAGGCTGACCTTTTAATCGTTTATATTTATTTATATTATAATTCCATCCTTCAGAATATTTTCTCTTCTTTCGAATTTTTGTATTATTCAGGCTGCTATCAGACTCGTTTTTTCCGCTATTATCATCTTCATCTGCAGAGCTATTACCACATTCGTTTTCCTCAGGAACGTAGGAAACATCCAAGTCGTCGTATTCAAATGACATAATATTCGTGATGTTACTATCGGAGTCGCCATTCTTGTCCTGTTCCGTTTCTGGATTCTCTGGGTTTTCCCATAAACATCGTTTATGTCTGTCGGCAAATCTAAATGGTCAAAACTGGTCGGAATATTCGGTGGTGGAGCCTCAAGATTATTATTTAATATTATTATAGTTTCTGGTTCACTGTTTATGCTTTCAGCATCGTTAAAGTCTGTTGGCAATTCTATATGTTTAAAATTATTAGAAATATTCGGTTGTGGAGCCTCATTATTAATATTATTTAATATAGGTTCATTTACACTACTAGGCAATTGTGTGTAAATCGGAGACAAAGTTCCATCTTCTCCAATTATGTATTTGACGGTATCCACACAAGAATCGCTTGCTTGTTGGTTAACCATATCCATTATGAGTTTTGTTCGAAATGACATTCTAAAATTGGAAATTAACTAAGTTATTTGTCTATAATAAATTATAACCATTAAAATTAAGGAGAAAAATGTATCTACATTTTTTATTTATCAATTTTAGTTAAATGGAAAAACGCGTAACTACACAATAAACATATTTAAGTAAAGTTGGAAAAGCGCGTATGTCCATAACCGGTAAAAAAGTCACAAAATAGACCAATATAATATATTTCTTTGATTAATCGAACTTTTGAAAATACTACAATGACCTTACCTTGACGATAAATAAGTTTTTTGCTCAAAAATGAATATACTTCTTCACTAACTTATTGAATTCTTGCGAGCACATGCACACACTGTTGAAATATTAGGCAAACTAGGAGTTAAGCGAATTTCTTTACCTAAATTTGACACATGGAAATACGTGATTTGCTTGACCAAATTTTTAGGCGGGAAATATTGTTCTGGCAGTTACGTGGGTTTCAGACTAGTAAGGTTTGATATTTTTCTATTAGATGGCATTAAAAGGTCAATTTGACCTAAAAGTGGTTTTCTTACTAAGGCGACGATATATGTAACAAACAATATTTCTAAAGAATAACAGGTTTTCAAAAACGAACTAACTAATAACACAGAGTCTTTGGTTCAGTTCAAAGTAAACGATAAAAATTACATTATTCATTAGAAGAGGAAGAGCTATTTCGACTCCTTTTAGGTTTTTTAGCATGTTGAAATAACTTCAAAAACTGTCCTCTCTGCTCATTTTATACCCTGATGGCATCTTCAAATACTTACTTTCATATGTTGTGCCTTATTTTGTCGTAATTGTTCATGCTGTTCTTTCAATAACTCGATTACCTTAATAAAATTCGTAGTTGGTCGAATAGAAGTAGTGTGAGAACTGAATCTGAAATATCAGTATAAATATTTTATGAATAGTTACCACAAACATATTTTTTATTTCTGGTTGTCTAGTAGTGCCACCTGACAAACTGGATCTATCATTGCTCAAAATAGAGGAAGCATTCGAACAGCTTGCTGTTGGCTCATCTACATCATAATTGCTTGTATCCAATGAATCTTCTATTTATGGAGGGTTTACCTTATCTTTATTGCCCAAAATTGCATGCATTTCATCAAAATACGGTGGAGGGTCTTTTATCTCTGTGCCAGTTGTTTTTATATTCTTCATATAATTCAAATAACTTCGTTGCTTGTTGGCGAATTTTTGACTTTTTTCAGCACCTTCACGTCCCTCTTGAATATCAAAACCTTTATTTTTCATATCACCTGCTATCTTTTGCAACAGAGCTTGTTTGAGGGTTTTTCTGTCATTACATTTCTCGTTATATTTGGTCGTTATATCTAAAAATAATAATGTGGCTTCTCTTGTGCTAAAGCTGTTATCTACTTTGGATAGATGTGCTTGTAGTATACCTTCTTGTTGTTATTGGTCTTGTGCCAACAGAGCTTGTGCATACCTTGAAGCTGCTGCTTCATCATAAAACAAATAAACACAAATCAGCATAACCATAGTAAGTATTTGTTTTCATCCCAAATTTGAAATAATTTTCTAAGAAAATTTACCATTCAACAGAACGTTGGCTTCTTCAAAAGTAACCACCGTCGTCACATCGATCACCTCATTATTTATTGATATTTCTTGCAAATTTTGTTCTTGTTCTTTTTTGTCCGATTCCATTGTACAATATTTTTCTGTAGATAATAGATATAACAACTTTTTTGTAGATTATGGACTGCAGGACCGTTCTACTTGAACACCTCACTCAACACGGTCCTTGATTATGCATACCGTTGAAGTATACTATTTTTTTACCTTTATTATTAACAAATTATTAAATTTGAATAATGTTCTTTTTGCTTGTTATGTTAATTTTAATTAATTGGAATATTTGCTATAAATTTTTTTTTTATTTTACAAGAAAAAAAATTGTTATATTATTTTAGTATCCATTTAATTTATTGTATTTTGTGTAAATACATTTAATTTGGAAATATTATCTAATTTTCCCTTTTGTTGATACTAGATGTTAGAAGAAAGAGTAGCATATTAGCAACTGTTGGAATGAGACAAAGATCAGTTCAATTGACACCTAAAGCTCAAAAATTCTATCGTATGACAAGAAATTTACGAAAAGTTGCAAAACGATTGGATTACCAGAATATCGACAACTAGAAACGATTCAGGCTGCAATTAAGTATGCAGAGTCGGGAGAATTTATGATACCATTGGTGAATAAAACCACATATAACTTCATACTAAGCCAAGTGAAAATGCAGAAGAAAAAACCTAAAGGTAGACGGTACTCTTTAGATAATAAAGTGTTTGCTTTGTCTATCCTGAAACAAAGCCTCAAATGCTTTAAATTGCTAAATGAGACTTTTTGTTTGCCTTCAAGAAAATCTTTTATGCAATTATTAAAGAAAATACCTTGTGATTGTGGCTTGAATCCAAACATTATGGATAGTCTTAGAGAAGTTGTCTGTAATATAAAAGAGTCGTTTATGTACGTTAATTTTTAATGAAATGTCTTTAACACCATCCATCAATTATAAAAGAAACCATGATGCAATCCAGAGGTTCGTTAATTGTGGAGATGGCGCTAGAATGCAATTTGCTGGCCATGCTATGGTCTTCATGGCGAGAGGAATTTGCAAAAAATTGAAATAGCCTATTGCGTACTTTTTAATAAGTGGCGCTATGAAATCAAATGATATTGTCCGCAATTTAAAAATAATCATTGCTCCCATTGGAAATATTGGTTTACATGTTGTAGCAACAATATGTGACCAGCATGCAGTCAACTCTTCTGCAATAAATAATTTAATGGAAGAAACGAGGAGAAATTATTTAATGAGAGGAGAAGAAAAACGCAATTTCGGCTTCGAAATAAATGGACAAGAAATTGTTCCCCTTTTTGATCCCCCTCATTTATTGAAGGGAATACGAAATAATTTTGTTAACGCGTAAGTGGAATTTGTTTGGAAAGGGGTAAACCGTAAAGGATCATGGGCAGACATAGTACACTTGTACGAAGTGGATGTGGGAGATTGTACGACTAAAATGTGCTACAAGCTTCCTGTCGCTCATATTTATCCAGATAAAATGAAGAAAATGAAGGTTAAATTGGCAGCACAAGTATTGTCACATAAAGTCTCAAGTGCAATTAGGTATAGCGTAAGAAATGGTATGTATATAATTTTGTAACTAATTAAATTTTTTTATGCAACTATGTATTTTTCAACAGGAAAAGAAGGTCTCTTCCCACCTGAAGCTGAAGGAACAGCTAACTTTCTCATTCCATTCGATCAACTATTCGATAGTATTAATGGATCTACTGTTGCCCCTGAAAATGGAAAACCGCTAAGAGCAGCAGTTAACAATAAATCCCCTCACATCGGTTTTTGGCAGGAATCCATACGTGCGCTCAGTACAGTTAAATTTATTGACACAAAAGGTAAAATTCATGTGCCGCCAAGCGTAAAAAATTGGATGAAAACACTCCATGGCTTCAAAGTGTGTGGCCACCTGAAGTATTAAACCGTGATTTGTGTGTCTCTTATAAATAGAGGTCGGATTTTTAGGGGACATTTCAGGGCCGAACTCAGTGCCATGTATACGATAATAAATATACACATATTTAAAAATGTTTAATCCAAATATACACTTATACAACAAAACTGGTCATAACTTCATATTTTCACGACGGAAATTGTTTGTTTTTTTTGTGTGTATGTCAGGGTTGCCAGACGTTCCGCTATAGAAGGGACAGTCCCGCTTTTTGCTAATCTGTCCCGCCTTTTTTTAATAATTCCAAGTCCCGCTTTTCACGTAAATTGTCCCGATTTTCCCGCCCTTTCCACTCTCTCGCAGAAGTCGCAGAAAATGCAACACTTCTCCGGCAGTATTATTTGCCACACTTTTCCGGCCTCTCAAGCATTGTAGGCATAGATATAGAAACCAGAAGATGTAACCACCGTGATCGACAACAATCAGTCACATTCTAAGCTAATGTGGTGGATAAGATTACAGTTGATTTACCACATTGCCAAGTCTATCTAAATTACTTTCTAACAGTTATCAGCAAATAAGAAACCTCTAATATGCCTGTTAAATATTGTTAATATTAACTGAATTATTAAGTACGTGCAAGATCGGGTTGAAGCAACTTTTGAAATACTACAAATCAAATATAATCTTTGTTAATCAATTATATAAAAAATAAGTACAGTGATAATAAAAAAATCGGCCTCAACGTGGCAACCGCGCTTAGCTGCATCCCATTCATAAATTGTTCATGACTTATGACGATTTACTATCATTTTTATAAAAGGTTAAGTAGTATCAGTTGTCAAATCGTCTTTATTGTTTCTTACTTTTTGGACAATATTAAACATTTTATTCTGCAAATATAGTTAGAAAGTGTAAAGTATGCAAAGAATTGTATTATCTAAATCCAAGTTTATTGTTCTACAAGTAAGTTTAAATTGAAGTAAATTATAGGTTATATTTTTTAATCATTGGCGTATCTGTAGTGTATAAAATATTTGTACATTTATAAACAAGCATATATATATTTTTTCTTTTTAAATTACATTTAAAATTGATACTAATAACTGTTTCAGGTTTCCTGCAAATTTTAAGAGAAAAAAAGCTTGGTTTGGTATTTTGGAAATCAATTTGGAACGGGTGCTCTAGCCATTTTGAGGATAGCAATTTCTTATTTACATCGAATGGCCTGAAATATTTGAAAAATGATGCTAGTTCAAAACAAGTTAATCTTCCTTAATTAATTAATTTAAAAAAGATTGGACTTACACAATTGAAAAAGAGTATGGGTAACTTAAATAGGTCATTTAGAAAGCAAGTATGTACTTGGTTCACAAGAGGTAGGAAAATAATTTTATAAATATATAAAAGTATAAGGAGACGCTATACTAACATCCAAATCATGTAAATGTGTAAAATACTTGAAGAAATCTTTCCTATTATAACTAAAATAAAGTTGGTTTAAATTGTTTTATATATGAACAAAATCAATATCAATTTTTCATATGTACTATCCAGTTATACTTCATATTTGTAGAGTTGTTCAATCGCAATTGTTGTTATTTGTTGTATCCAGTTAAGGGACATTTTAAAAATATTAAATTATTAATTGCATACTTTACTCTCCAGTCTCTAAACGAATTATAGCATCAGAAGTATTGATAAGAACTAAAAGATCTCTTTTCAGGAAATATAGATTAATTCTTTCCAATATATGTAAGTATCTTAGACCTCGAACATCATACTTCTTGAAACCTTTCCTAGAAAATTGCACAGCTTTCTATAAATTAATAGTGTATTAGCAATATTATATTTTTAAAACATATTTTTAAAATGTTACATTGGTCATCATACTATTTATAAATTGTTTAAATATCGTTATTCTTAGCTTTTGAATAATACATTATTGTGTAAATAAATATATAAATAAAAATTTTAACAGAATTCTTTTATAACTGTACCATTTTCCTGTTAATGATACGCCCATGGCAATAATATCAGTAATGTAAACAACGACGCCATTTTCAACCTTATCTGACGTTTAATGTTGGTGTGTAAACAAACAATATTTATGAATGGGTTGTGGTAGATGTGATTGTAGGTCAAACATTTGATGTTGTTTCGTGGTCGAGGTCATTTTGTTCGGTGAAATGTGGAAATGTCTGTATTTTACCATTGTACCTGTGCGAGTTAGATTCTATCCCGTTGCATTTAACCGTTAGAAGGGAGAAGCTTTTGGCAAGTGCAATAAAACAATTTTACAATGATAACGTTAATTTTACGATAATTTTTGTAAAACTAAAATGGCTTCAGGATCGGATTCTTCCATTATTTCTGACGAAATAGACTGGTTAGGGCCTTTAGGAGGTGAAAACTGTGGAGTCTACGAAGATATAGTGGATTGTTTAAATAAAAATGCAGAGGAAAGTGCGCCGTCTTCGTTGGTGTTTGTGGACATTCACGAAAATTCGGTAAGGTTTAATTATTTTAAATATCCCACCTAACTAAATTTTGAACTGCAAATAATATTATACTTGCCTTTTAGATCTAACTTTTTTTTGTAACAAAAAATTAAACGTATTGTTGTACTTTTCAGAAAAATGAAGCAGGATCTTCAGAAATAAAAAATAAACGCTGATAAGACGCTAAGTTTACACTGACTAGAAGTTATAATGAGTTTCAGTGGCGTCGCGATGAGGAGCAGTCATGAATAATATTTACAAAAAAATGTACGCCACTGACTTTTCAACTTTTATGTATTTTGTTTTTAATTAAGCAGCTAAAAATACAACTTTTTTTTATCTTACTTCGTTTTTGAGAAAAAAATAAAAACCACTTTTATTAAAATTAACAATAAGATCAAGTTAACTTCGATCGTTAAATTTTTCTACTTGGTTCAAGCATGCGCCCTTGTAATTACGGCTTATCATTAAGTAAAACCCTGTATATATAGGGTATAAATAATGCCTTCTGTTGTTTTGTTGTAAAGCGTTTATTTTGTTATTCTAATAAAGAATATTTTGTTTTTGTCCTCATTTTTAAGTTTTGATTGAATTCCTAACAAAATTAAGCGTGGTTCTAAAAAATTTGTGACTCGGTTGCTGAAACGACAGTGTCCCGCTTTTTCATTACAAAGATCTGGCAACCCTGTGTATGTATGTAACCATTTTCTTTAAAAACTCCTGGACCAATTTCGATGAGGTTTTTTCATTGCATAGGTATCACTGGTATCACTTCTGTGCAGACTCTTAGCCATGGTTTACGGTTATAGGTCACCAGGGCGCTTTGCAGCATGTGTTTCTCTGAAACAGTTGGGCCGATTTTGATACGGTATTTAGCTTTATGTAGGTATCCCCTCATAGCAGGTTAGTAGATCAGTTTTATTTTATAATTATAAGTGATACGTTTTTTTAAAACGGCTTTTAAATGTTTGTGAGCCTTCGTAACTCCAGCAACGCTATTTTATTGTGTGGAGTATCGTCGTTTAAACATTTTTAATTTTATCCTGTTGGATTTGGGAAGAAGACACCGCCTACCAATTTCTAGGGATAATAAATTAATATAAACAGGTAAATAATTAAATTGTGTATATGTATTTACTGTTTCCTATAAGCTAGAAAAATGCGAACAGACCCTTCTACATACTTTTGCAGCCAAAAGCAAACGGCACAAACTTTATAAAAAACAAATAGATAATTAAGCTACAAAAACGCATCAGAGAGGCGATTGCCTTGATCGCAAAGGTATAAGGCAGGACTTGTACAAAATCTTACGAACCGTGACCTTGACAAAATATACATGCCAGTGTTTGGATATTTTGTTAAAGTCACAGTTCATAAGATATTGTACAAGCTCTAAAGCCGCACGACATGTACCACGCGTTATTTTAAATGAAGTAGGGGCAAAATAATTTCGTCTACACTACAAACTACAAGTACGACAACTATAAAGCATGTTCATGATTTTAGTTACAACTTTGTCCGCGGATGTTCCGTACTAGGCGCTACGGAGGCGCTGTAGTCAAACTTTGGTATTTCTATTTCACTTATATCTACAGCAGACAGAACAGGCACAGTCCACAGAACAGTATTCCAAACTTCAACTTCTGCGCCCTCTACATGAACATGCTCTATTGTACTCTTATCGCGTATTCTCTGAAGAATACGTAGTATATGTGTGTACTTCCTGCATAGTGTCCTTCGCTCTTTATTGACGATTCGCGGTTGTATCAAAATTCTAAAAAATGGCGCAAAGGCAAGCTCGCAGTGTAACAATTAGAAAATGGATAGAAGGACACGAATAGTTAAATTATAATGGTGTGACTTTAACCTGCACTGCTTGTAATACCTCCATAGAGGCTTCCCGAAAATCTCATGTTGAAAAGCATATAAAAAGTCGTGTGCATGAAAGAAATTTGCAAGGATCTACTCTTAAAAGTGATTTTTGCTTTGATCTAGCGATGATGATGATCGCTGCAAATATACCATGGATAAAGTTAAATAATAAGCATTTTCGAAGCTTCTTGGCGAAATATTGTGTAGGTCACGATATTCCTGAAGAATCTCATTTAAGGAAAACGTTTCTAGACAAAGTGTTCGAGAACCAAGTTATCCAAATTCGTCAAGAATTGCTTGAGGGATTTTTTTGGGTATCGATGGATGAAACCACTGACTTTTTGGGACGAAAGATTGTACACCTTCTTGTGACGAATTTAAAACCAAACGAACCTTCCTCTCGCTATCTTGTAGCGTCTAAAGTAACAAGTGAAATAGTGAATGGTACAACGATATTTAATCTTTTTGTCGAAACTTTAAGGTGGCTATGGTTGAATAAAGCTGAGCAAAATTTTAAAAATATTATTATGTTTACAAGCGATGCCGTCAGCTATATGCTTAATGCTGGAAGAAAAATAAAGGCAAAGTGCCCACAAACACTTCATGTTACATGTATTGTACATGGCATTCATCGAATTGCAGAAGAAGTAAGAAATCAATTCAAAGATGTAGATAACTTCGTGGATAATGTTAAGAAAAGCTCCATCTCGCGTTAAAACATTTAAGGAAATGTTCCCAGACTTGCCGTTGCCCCCAAAGACGATTATTACCCGTTGTGGTACATGGATTAAAGCAGTGTGTTATTTTCAACATCATTATAATGAAGTGAGAACTGTGCTTGAATCATTTGACCCCCGTTCCAGTGCAGCAATTAGAAATTGTCGTGAAATAATGGACAAACCAGAATTAATTGCTGATATAAATTTTGTGACAAACAATTTCGGCATGATCCCTGAAATAATTCAAACTTTGGAGTCTTCAAAAGTTTCCGTACAATTCGCCCTGGAAAAACTTAACGAATTAAAAACTAAAATTGACGCAGTGCCAGGAGATGTAGGAATTCGTTTACAGGAAAAGATGGCTGCTGTTTTACAAAGAAATCCTGATTTAGAAATAGTAAAGTGTTTAAAAGAAAAATTTGGTACCGAGTCTTATTGGTATAGCGATATACCAGTAGACGCTTTCCAGTTTGCCCCATTAACGTCTGTGGATTGCGAAAGATCTTTTTCGGCTCATAAATATATTTTAGATGTAAAAAGAAATAAGTTAACAAACACTAACCTAGAAAAACTACTTATGATATATTTTAACAAGAATTCAATGTAAGTATTATAATTTTAAAATAAATACTATTGGTAACCAACCGAAGTATATTCTTACATATTCGGATCCGTTACAAGTAGATTCACTAAAACGTTTTAAGACTTAAGCTTGATTTTCATGTGTACGGAGTCCGATAAACGTTTTACGGCACTCATGACACAAAAAGTTTAAAACTGTCAACTTTTGTTGTCTGGCATTGAATTTTCCCCAATCAGAAAAGAGCATGAAGAGCGTCCCGCAAAACGTTTACCGAACGCCGTACACATAAAAATCAAGCTTTAGACCAGATTTAAATTTAAAACTTCTCGTTAGCAAGGTCAGTTTTGTTTTGTTTCTACGCCAATGCACTGCCACAAAAAAATGCGTTTTTAACTTTTTGCTCCTTATTTGTATTTTAAATTACTTTTTATACGATTTAATTCTGTATGCATTAATTAGTTTTTAATAAAACTACAATTTGTTCAATATATAACTTTTTTGTTTAACAAATAAAAAACAAAAAATTTATTTATAATACAAAATGTATGCACAAGTTACTTTAAAACCCTAGTTGTTACCTTAGATCAGTTTTAACGGCAATGAATCGCTTGTTAATGTTACAAATAAAATTTACTGAAGCATTAAATAGTTATTAGCAGATGGGCCTGAGTGCGGTCCTGTAATGTCCCCCAAATTCCGACCACTACTCATAAACCAATTATTGTGAGTAAAAACGACCTAAAAATATTATAAATATTGCTGTAGCATCATTTTTTGACTATGAGACAACATTAGAGATTTAAATCCTATTAATTATTGGTGATTTTTATAAACTGTTCATTTAAATGGGGTTAAGATTCTTTAAAATATAATACCAATAATATCTATAGTTGATTAGACTCCACAAAATCTAAACCAGTTTTTGTAAACTGAACAGTATTTATTTATATAAAGCAAACCACACACTACAAATTAGAATAAATATAATGAATGAAACAGCTATAAAGAAACTGTTAGGGGAGACCACGAAAAAAATAATAGAAGAAATTCAAAACGTAAAAAAGAATTAAAACGTGCAATTGAAGCCGTAAAAACAAATTTATTGCTAAAAATCGAAAATCATAATAAGAGGTTGATGGAAGTAGAAGAAAAAAAACAGATTTCTAAAGGAAACGGTCGACAAATTAGATAGGGATAGTAGAAAAAATAACATAATTGTTTTTGGCTTAAAAAATAAAGACCAAAAAGTAGAAGATATCTGCATAGAAATCAGGGATGTTGCGGATGCCGATTTTTTCACATCCGCGGATGTGAAAGCGGATGCGGATTTTTGAAGGCTCACATCCGCGGATGCGGACGCGGATGTTTAAGGATCCTATATAAAAATAGAATACGAAAACGAATGAAGAATTAAAACAATGATAAAGTATTTATTAACATTTTATAATAATAATAATAATAATATTTATTCATAACATACAGATTAATTTACAATTTACAATTATTATTTTTTTCACAAAGATAGTATTAAGAATAAATATAAGGTTAGAGATAGTTTAAACTAACATAACAAAAGACAGATTAATTAATTTTAGCTCGTTAAAACCGATGTGGTCGTGCACGAGCAATAAAATTATTAATAATTATGATTTCTTTAGATTTTATAAAAATATAGAAAATAATACTATACAATCTTGTAAAAATGTAACTAAAAGTTGAGAGTAAGTAAGCAGGTAATTAACTAATTATAAAAAGGGTAAAACGTGTGAGTAGTGGAAAGGTAAGTTTAACAACTGTATATTAATTTTATGTTTTTTTTTTTTTTATATCTATAATATATTAATTATTTTTTTGGTCAATAATAGCAAGAAAGTCCTGTCTGTTTGAATTTAACACAAATTTTTTAAAGATGCTTTTAATCATATTTAATGAATTAATGGTTGTTATATAAATTTTATACATATTGGGCAAGTAATTAAATATCTTAGAAGTAGATATAGAATATTTCTTTGTCCAATTGTTTTTTTACTTATATCAGTAGCTACGAATTTTTTATTTTTTAACCGAGTAGAGTAGTTGTGTTCTATATTTCGTAATATATTTTTATTTTTATAGATGTTCAATATAATAGAATAAACATATCTCTGATATCCATGACCCTACTCTCCAAAAATAGTAAGTCAGAGGGATGGTCCATTTTTTTATTGTATATGATTTTTAAAATTTTTCTTTGAAGTACTTCTATATTTTTTAGGTGTGTTTGTAAAATACCACCCCATCCAAGAATCCCGTAATTTAATCTTGACTCTACGAGTGAGTAATAGATTATTTTTAGTTGGTTAATTTCTAGTATTGATTTTAGATATTTAAACTTTGAAAGTAGCAATCGTAAACACCTCGCAATGTCTCCAACATGTGCATCCCATTTCAAGTGAGAATCGATTTTAATACCTAAGTATTTTATTTCTTGGGTGTATTTTATAATAATATTTTGCAAGCTAGGAATATTAATTTCGTTATATGGTGGCAAAGAATTTTTATAACTACTAAAAGGCATAAAATAGGTTTTGTCAAAATTAATTGTTAGTTTTTTATGTCTAAACCAATCGATAATTTTTGAAAAATCTGACTCTATTTTTGTTTTTAAATTCTCCCATGTGTCACTGCTGTATATGACAGCAGTATCATCAGCAAAACTGATTATTTTGCCCTCTACTTCAACATCGAAAAGACCATTAATATATACACTGAATAAAAGTGGACCCAATACGGTGCCCTGAGGGACACCATAAGTTGTGGTGTGAAATTGGCTGACAACATCATTAACTTTTACCTGTTCCTGCCTGTCCTTTAAATAATCCTTGAGAAGATCATGTGCTGGGCCACGTATTCCTGCATCCTCCAAAGCATCCACTAGCTGTTCATGTGAAACAGTATCAAACGCCTTGGCTAGATCCAGAAATACGCAGATACTTGGTTTACTGTCGTCAACTAACCGATAGACTGTATTTGTTAATTCCACTATTGCGTCGCTGGTAGATAAACCTTCTTGGAACCCATACTGACATTTTGAAATATAGTTATGTTTTTTAAAAAATGTAATCAATCTTTGTTTTATGGTTTTTTCAAATATTTTTGTTAAATTTGTTATTAAAGAGATTGGTCTGTAGTTTGACATATTGCTTTTATCGCCTTTTTTATGTAATGGCAAGATAGTGGTCTTTTTGAACTGATTGGGACATTTTCCCACATGAAATATAGAGTTTATAAGATGAACTATTTGTGGTATTATTTCATATTTAATATTTTTTAAAATCTCAGCCTTTATGCCATCTACGCCTGGTGCTTTATTATTTTTAAGTGAATCTATTATGCTTCCGATTTCGTTTTCAGTGGTGTCAGATAAAAATATAGAATTTACATTGTTTTTATTTTTTTGGGGGTGTTGTTTGTGGTTTCGAAATTTTATCAGCATAATTTTTACCAATATTACTAAAGTGTTCAATAAAAAGTTCCGCTATGTCATATTTGTCTACTGAGCGGCAGCTGCCATTATGAGTTTGTAATTCTGTTACTATTTTTTGAGAGTTTTTTTCATTTGACTTATTATTTACAATATTCCATAAATTTTTAGTGTGATTTTTATTTTTCGTAATTTCATTTCTGTAATAATTTTTTTTTGCTGCTTTTATTAGGGTTTTTAAATTTTCTCTATAATTAAAATAATTGGTTTTCTTTAATATATCATCGGGATCTTTTAAATATTCTTTATATAATTTATTTTTTTTATTTACTGAATTTACCAAACCATCTGTCATCCATTTTTGTCTTTTTTGTTCTGATTTTTTTATTTTTATTAATTGAGTGTTCTGTTCTACTAATTTTTTAAGGGTATTAATAAATTATCACATTTTTTATTTATGTCTTCAGAGTTATAGTAACTATTCCAATTATTATTTTGAAGATCATTTTTTAGATTTTTATAATTAATGACTTTTTTATTGAGATCTTTAGTGTTAAAGCAATTTACTGGTTTTAGTGGGATATGTAGTATTATAGCTTTATGGTCTGACACACAACTTTCAAATGTTGCTGCTATGATATTTTGTTTTACATTATTAAAGTTACTTTTTAAAAAAATGTGATCAATGCAGCTTTTCGAGTTTCCTTTTATTCTAGTGTATTTATTTATTAACGATTCGAAATTAAATTCATACAATATATTTAGATACTCAAAGGCGGGTTCTAAAATATTTCCCTTAATATTTAGATTAATATCTCCCAGAAATACATGTTGTTGTATATTTAATGTATGTTTTTGTTCAAGGTAGTGGCGTAGTTCAAAAATGAATTCATTACTATCAGTGGATGGAGACCGATACATACATGTTATTAATATTTCTTTTTTGTTCTCACAAGTTATATATATTTCTACTACTGAAAATTGTCCTATTTTTTCTATTTGAGATCTATATTTGTATTTATTTTTTAAGAAAACCACTACTCCATCGTTTCTATTTAAATTACCATAGTTATATATAAGTTGATAGCCCGGCTTTTCGAAATATTCTATATCATTTCTAATAAATGTTTCGGTTAAAACAATCATATCAAAATTTTGTTTTAATTGAGATAATGAAATATTAAATTCATCCAAATTCTTTTTCATACTGCAAATGTTTTGATGTATTATAGTGAATAAATTTTTTCCCCTTTTAGGGCATTGTTTAAATCATTGCCATTTAAAAATTCTAAAGTATCATACATCTCACACGTAACATCCCTTAAAAACTGATCCATTTTCTACAATTTATTTATAACTAAAAAGAGTCGTTGTAAGATAATTATTAACTAACAGAAATTTTTAAGACTATTATAAATTCTAATAAAATTATAGTAAGTAACCTATATCTACTAATTTTTACTAAATAATACCTTAAAAACGATAAAAATAATAATACATAAAAGAAATTCTTCAGATAAGTAGGTAATTGGTTTTATATTGATGTCGATATTGAAT